TTTTTTTTAGGTCACAAAATTACGCCAGCCCCGGTCTGGTATTTTTTGAAAAACTTTTTTAACAGCCTAACGTTGAAAATAAAGCCCCGATGGGCTGAAGCTGTGAGTCCGGCAAGTTTTCAGGACGAAGAAGTATTTTATTAACCCTAACAGCGCGGGCACATGTTTGGAAACGTTAGTGTTGTGAATGGGAGAGACACACTATTTCCCCGCTCTATAAAAGAGGTTCCGGCCCAGAACGATACGGGCAGTCCCGGCGACAATTGCAGGCGGCAGCTGGGGCGCCGCAGATTTAAAACGTGCGCGTGAGGCGGCCAGGGCGCTTGCGCGAGGGTGTGGGGGGACGGGAGGGGCAGCCGCGGTCTTCCGGGGGGGAGGGGTGGCGAGGCGAGGCCCTCGAGGCGGGCGCGCGCGCGCGCGGGTGGCACGTGGGGCCTCTTCGTCTCCGGCGATCGGGCGTCACCCGCCACCCCCAACCCCTTCTTCGGCCCCCGGGCGGAGGCCGTTGCAGAGAAAAGCCAAAACCCACCCCCTGCCGCCTCTGGAGTCATGGGTCCGCTAGTGATTTCTGGAAGTGCTAGAAACCTGGTCATAAAAAAAGAAAAAGAATGGCGTCCATTTACATAATGCTTTGTTTGCATTTTGCAAGTTTGGGTTGAACCCGCAGAAACCCCTCCTTCCTGTCCTAGTGTCATCGTAGTCGCAGCCTTCCCGTCAGGCATTTAAGACAATGGCGTGTTTCTTTGGGGGGGGCCTCACTTATTCAGGGGTGCCCGGGAGTGTTTTGGGGAGTTTCTGCGGTTTTCCCCGTTACTGTTCACTTTCCGGCTGCAGCCTTTCGCCCTCTTCCTTGCTTGGTGCAGCCGCCGCACCCCCGCTCTTTCCGGGGGCGGCTCCCTAACGGGGTCCCGCCATCTTGGAAGGCCTTTTCTGCCGGATGTCGCTGGCGCATGTTTCTCTCGCTGGGGAAAGATCGCTCGAGACGCTAGTGTGTCTTGTTGTGGTTTCTGCCCATTCCCCTTTCGGTTCAGGCAGAAAAGGCCGTGTGCGCAACCTGCTTCAGGATCCCTCAGGGAAAGCGGCTAACGTGGCGGTCCCCCTGTACCCGCCCCCTCTCCTTCTCTGCGGGGGTGGCCGCCATGTTTCCTAAACACAAAATGGCGGCCCGTGGCCAGGATACACCGCCAACGAAAAATTGGGGTTGCCGTGAAAGCCCTAGAACGCTCCCTTTTCCGGCCCCCTCATCGTGCTGGCGGGTCGGGGCCTTCCCCTCAAAGCGAGTGCGCTGACCACTCCGGGACAAGACCCCGCGGGCTGTCCCAAACCTCGGGGCAAATTTTAATACATTTCCCCCCACCGATTCGAAACGGGAACGCGAATGACTGTAAAACGTAGGCATGATAACGAGTCTCTCGCTCATTTAGAATTTAATAATGGATATGGGGGAGGCAGTACTAAAGGGTAATTTGGGCCCCCAGTACCAAGCATTCAGGAATCCCTGCTTTTCTAGACTTCTAGAATAGAATGTTGTGGGGAAGAGACCAGAAATGGTCTTACAAAGCTTATTTTGAAAAAAATTTCCGTGAAAGGACTAGGATATCAATGACGTTTTTCACAGGCCAGCTTGCCGGTGGATCTCAGTTGACAACTGTTGTCCACTTTTGTTCAGAAGGAACAGACACATTCTGCATTTCCCAGAGCCAGGCCTCGTGCTAGCCATTTTACTGTATACGACGTTTAATTTTTACAGTTCGCCTCTGAGGTAGATGTTATTTCTCTCTCTCTCTCTTTTTAACAGATGAATTGACTTAGGCCCAAAGAGATGAAGTGAATAATTCAAGGTCACACAGTGTCCAGGATGGAATCCAGACCTTCTGATTTCCTTATTGGTGAGCATGTTTCCAAATTTTTCTGCAAGTCAGGATTTTAGAATAAATGCTATTTGAACGTCAGGTGAGCATGTCATTTGAAGAGGAACCCCTTAACCTTTTTGTATGTAGCCATCCCCTATTTGTATGTGGGGATTCTCAGTTTTTTCAGGTGTGAGTTACACTTATAGGGTGTTCAAATGCTATTTTTTAATGAGGTGTCTGGATGAGGATAGGAAGAGGGAAATGATTCATCCCTGCCTAAAGGCCTAAGTATCTGTCAGTCCAGCCTGTGGCACATTTGCGTCTATCTGCCTCTGTGGGAGCAGTTTCTCTGTATGACTCATTTGCTTCCTTAGCTACCCATGGGCATGACTTCTGCCTTCCTCACCCCAATGTCTCAACCACGTAAAAATAAATAATTCTACTTTGGCGCCAAGCCTCCAGTTCTCTGCAAATATTGACAGAACGTGACAGTGTTAAATAAATCATAGTCTGTGGACACTTCAGTTCAGTGTAACAACTTAACCTAACAGGGCTGTACAACGACAAATATGTACCTAAGCAGGGCTGTAGTTCTGTGGGTGTTAGAGATGGAGAAAAAGGCTTTTTGCTTTACTACCTTACATTAACGTTGTACATCAGACTTCACAAAGTGCCTTCACATTGCCTTATATGATCCTACAAACAACTTTGATAGATACATCACAGCTGCACTGACTGTAATAGCACTGAGTGCTTACTATGTGCCGGCACTGTTTGAAGCTTTATTTTATGTGTGAATTCAGTGGCTTTCACATTTTTAAAGCAATCCACTGTAACCAATAAATTTTATACAACTCAGAGATGTACACACATGTATAAAAGAAACAGTTCTTGTAAAACACTACGTATCCTTACTACATGCAGTGTGCTCTGGTAATCTCTATTCTCTTTCTTATGTGGAAAAAGGGCACACCAAAACTAAAGTGATAAAAAACCCGTTACCAGGTTATGACCAATGTGATGACGGTATACGTTTAATCCTCACAGAACCACTAGAGATGGGAGTGATGTTATTTCCATTTTACAGTTAGAGAGGTGAAGGATTTTGTTCAAGGTTACACAGCTATTAATAGGTAAATCAAAGGGTTAAATTCAATCAGTCTGAGTACAGAGCCCATATGCTTAATCATTAAACTAGATGTAGTCTCTGCAGAGAGCCTTGGTTTATAGGGAGACAAAATTGATTAGGGAGCTAAAAATAAAGGTAAATGTTAGAAATCAGGAGAAAATCAAAGGATTACATTATATATAGTCAAGAATTATCCTGATTTGAAGCATTCTGGTCTTCTAAGTTTGCCACCTATTTATTTTCTCTAAGGAAAATTTTATCCATTGGGTTTTTCTTTCCAAGACTGTCTATTTTAAGCCTCTTCTGCCTAAAATATTCCCTTAGTTTCTTCATATCTGAGTACCTCTAGGGCGATGCTTACCTCCTCAGTGAAGTCTTCCCTTTCCCAATTCTGAGCCTCCTCCCTTCTTCTGGAGTCCTATAGCCCTTCCCTTGGGTAGCTCACATCTGGCTATTGATTAGATTGTAATTTATCAAGGTGTTGATAAGGTGTTGTACCAGGACACAGGTGTCTTGGGTGACCCTGAGATCTGGCAAAGAGGGTGCTAGACTTAGGAATCCATGGCTGTGGCCTCTAGCCCCAGCTCTGCCAGTGACTAGCTTTGGGACTTCTACAGTCTAGTTTATTTACCTGGGCCTCAGTGTTTTCCCTTCTTTAAAGCAAGAGATTCAATGATCTCTAAGGCCCCTTCTAATGCTGTCCAAGGAGTGATAGTATTTGATGAGCTTGGTTATTTATCTCTTGGTGGGGAGGGTTATGTAAATATTTTACTCAATTGTGGTAAATTCTGCACTCCCTTCCTCAGACCTGCACTGTCCTGTGGATACTTGAGTGAATTCCACACCACCCATTTTACAGATGAAGCCACTGAGACATGGAGCTACTGACAAAAATAAGTCACCGCCCCACCCCGTGGGGGCTCACATATGACTCTTCTCCCACTTGAGTGACCACAGGTTGGTTACAGGGCTTAACAAGGTTGGGGAGGTGAGTCAGACTTAGACTTTGGAAACTGAACTGCAGGACTTATAATCCATTGAGAGGAAGGATTTTTACTTCCTCTTCCCTCACTGAGGCATATTATACCAAACCTTACAAGATGATTTCATATTACTGAATCATCACAGACAACCATTCCAAGAAGGTGGTGGTATTATGCCCATTTATGGAAGAGCCATCTTTGGATCAGAGGAGTGAAGTGACTTGCCCAAGGTTACACAGCTTGTTGGGACCTGAGCTGGGCTTCCTGACTTGCAGTAGTGGATTGTACCTCTGCTTGGCTTCTGAGGCTTGTGGCACTGATTTGACACATGGAATAATATCATCTTAAACTCAAAAATCTTTTCATCTACTCTCTCTTTTTCTGTCCCAGAACATCGAACTCACTTACGTTAGGTTTCTTACTCTTATGCTTTAAGAGAATTTCTCTCCTCTTGTTCTGTAATGTTTATATTTATGGGTTTGGGAAGTGGTGGGAGTGATTCCTAAATGAGATTTTAAGTTCTCTTGGGGCAGGATCACCTTTTTACCCCTAACCTGCCTGGCCCAGCAAGTGTACTGCAAGTTTTAAAAACTGCCCTACCAACATGCAGCATTTGTTCCAAAAACAAGGTTTCTTTTTCTCTTTCCTCTTCAGATTTAGCTTCCCATTTAAATCTATAGCAAATTGAGAGGAACTTTACTGTATTACTTTCCAGGTTACTACAGAGTGCAGCCTAGAAACATGTCTTACATACTTGGAGGTGATAACAATTTGATCTCATGTGCTGGTGACCTTGCACAGCTTTTTTTTTTTTTTTGGTATCATTAATAGAAAATCACATGGGCAACATTGTAGTTACTAGATTCCCCCCATTGTCAAGTCCCCACCCCATACCCTATTACAGTCACTGTCCATTAGCATTGTAAGATGCTGTAGAGTCACTACTTGTTTTCTCTGTGCTGTACTGCCTTCCCTGTGCCCTCCACTACGTTATGTCTGCTATTCATAATGCTCCTTATTCCCTTTCTCCCTCCCTTCACTCCCCTCCCCCAGTGCCTTTCCCTTTGGCAACTGTTAGTTCATTCTTGGGTTCTGTTAGTCTGCTGCTGTTTTGTTCCTTCAGTTTTTCCTTTGTTTTTATGCTCCACAGATGAGTGAAATCATTTGTTACTTGTCTTTCTCTGCCTGTCTTATTTCACTGAGCATAATACCCTCTAACTCCATCCATGTTGTTGCAAATGGTAGGATTTGTTTTCTTCTTATGGCTGAATAATATTCCATTGTGTATATGTACCACATCTTCTTTGTCCATTCATCTACTGATGGACACTTAGGTTGCTTCCATTATCTTGGCTGTTGTAAATAGGACCTTGCACAGTTTTTTTGGGGTCACTACTTGATTTCCTCTGAAACATAAGAACTGTATTGGTGTGCCTTACAGAAGTGATTAGGAGATATACCAACATCCTTAGCTTCAGTTCTTCCAGTTGGGCAGAGCAATGCTCTTGGATTTCCCAGGTCACTATTACTGAAAGACGGCATGAGAATAGAGTGCAGAGAAAGTTAAAAGGGACAATGAGAACAGAATGCAAATGGCAAGTATAGAAAGTGAAAAAGGAAAAAAGGTTAAGAAAAGGAAAGAGAAAAGAATAGAGCAAAGAGAAGAAAGTACAGGATCATTGGAAGGGACATGAAGAGAACAGTACTGTGGGGTAGAAGCATAGGCTTTTGTCTTGTACTGAGGAAGAATAGCGGGTATGATAACTCCTCCTGAGTTGATCTTGAGCAGCATGTCTTTTATCCTCTATTTCCAATAGCAGGTGGGGAAAATTTCTTTGTTTCTGCTATCTGCTGAGGATGTGATTAGATACCAATTTTCTTATTAGCTTCAGTTCAATTGGTTTATCAATGAAAATGTGCTGCAAAAATTACGTTAGTTATTCCAGGTTAAATTTCATCTTATTTGTTCATTCAACAATTATTTATTGATTGCTTGATATGTCTCAGACAGTAAGGATATAGAAATCAATGAATGAGATCCTGTCCTTGTCCTCAAGATGTTTATGGTCAGGAGAGGGAGATGGACAATAAACAGAGCCACAGTACGGTGTGTTAAAGTATTATTAAATATGAGTAAGTAGGGGGTGTTGTGAGCTTGGAGGAAGGTCCTTGATTCACCCTTGGAGGGGATCCAGGAAGGCTGTCAGGAGAAGCTGACATTCAGTCAGAGTCCTAAGTTGGCAAACTGCAAAGTAGGGAAGGGTATTTCAGGCTGGGGAGCAAAGGCCCAAAGGCAGAAAGAATGCAGTCCATTCAGAGGGTGTGTAGCCATTTCAGGAAGGTATGAAGGATGTTTGCGTGATCCAGTTTTTGTTGATTATTGTTTACTGCCTCCAAAGAGTAGACTATTGAGATTTGACTATTCTTGCCTAGAGCACAGAAAGTTAAAAGTCTTATTTTGTAGCAATAATTCTCTTTTCAGATGAAGACACCAGAAATCATACTTCCTGTCTTAGAGATTTTAAGGATAAAATGTAAACAAAGCACAGCTTTTGAGTGAGCAAATAATTGTTAACCCTTTGTGCAGTGAAAGAAGGTGTGATGTACAGCACAACCCTTTCCCAACTTTTGGATTGATTGTGTTCTGGTTCGTTTTTAAAGGAAATTTAGGGTTTTTGTTTAGCTGGTTAGGGTATTTGATTTAGGGAAGAGGGAAAGGAGCTCAAGAATAATTGCTGTTTTATGGCGACACAAAAGAAATACATTTAAATAGCTCTTTTCTCTGATCCCACCTACTGAGCACAAGCAAGATTTAGTTGGGGACTTGGTTTCAGAGAGACAGTTACTTCACCCAGACAAAGCCTTTGTTCACCATTATTTGCGTGTAAAATCTGTTGTGTCCAGCTTAAGAACATTGATTATGGTGCTTATCTTTTTTTGGACACAGAAACCTTATGTGTATTCATTGGGCAATACTGGAATTTTACCTGAATTAAAAGAAAAAGAGTGAGGTGCGTGGAGTAAAGAACGTCCTTAGAAAACATCACATAGATTTGGAGGTCATTTCTGAGTTGTCTTCTTGACCTCTCAGTAGCATTTGATGCTGCCCTCCTTGCACGTTAGTTTCACTTGGTTTCTTCTACAAGGCTATTGGTTCTCCTTCTATCTCACTGGACCCACCTTCTCAACCCCCTCCTGCTTTTTAGCTGATTCCTCCTTATCTCCTCAGCCTTCAATAGTGGAGTCCTCAGATCGATCCTTGCATGTCTTCTCTGTCTACATTCATTTCCTGGGTGTTCTCTTTCAAGATTTTAAATACCCTGACAGTTCTCAAGTATGTTATTATTTTGAATATCTTTCCCTGAATTCAAGAGTCATATCCAGCTGCCTATGGGATATCTCTGCTTGGGTATCTAATAGCTTCTTGAACTTAACATATTCAAACAGTTAACTCCAGAGCTTCTTTTAAAACCTACATTTCTGATAGTTCTTCCTCATCTTAGTTTAGTTGTGTTGCATGTATGGAGGACTTCCTTGATTCTGTTCTTTTTCTTAACTCTGCTAATCTAATCCACCAGCAAGTCCAGTGAGCGCTACCTTAAAATGTATCAAGGATGTGAACACTTCCCACCACCTCCCCTGTTACTATTGGAATAGCCTTCTAAATGGTCTTCCTCCTTCTGCTCTTGGTCACCTTGGTTTAATCTTACCAGTGACCAGAATGACCCTGTTCAGTGTGTATCATATTACACCACTCCTGCCCAGGCAGTGAGTCGCATGCAGACTAAAAATTGAAGTTTTTAGCACTGGTGTACAGGCCGGATCTTCAGTGTTACTCTCTCCCAGCTGTTCTGACCTCACTTCTACCACTTTCCCCTTGTGCTCTAGCCACATGGGTCTCCTTGCTGTTGCTCTACCAGGCCAAGCCTTGGGACCTTTGTTGCTTTCTCTGCCTGGAGTACTTCCAGATAGCAATATGGCTTTCTGCCTTACTTGCCTCAGGGTTCTCTGCAATTGTCTCCTAATCTGTGAAGCATTCCTTGGGTATCCTTGAAATTTAAAGCCATATGCAATCCTGCCCTCTGCCTTCTCAATTCCTCTCCCCTGCTTATTTTTCTCCACGGAACTTAGTATTGACGTACTATTTAGTCATTCATTCGTAAGTCAGGTATTTATTGAGTGTTGTCTACTATATGCCAGGTAATGTTCTAGGGACTCTCTATTATTACTTTTTGCTTATTATTTGTTACCTGCCACTCAAATATAAATTTAAATATGAAGGCTAGGACTTTGTTTTGCTCATTGATATATCACCACTTCCTAGAACAGTGCCTAGCACATAGGAATTGAATGAATATATTTATTCACGTTTTAAACAAAAAATATTTTGCATATGTAGAAAGTTGTGTGCCAGATAATGAGGGAAGAATCTAATAAGACATTATTCCTGCCCTCAAGTTGCTTGGTCTAAAAAATGCTTATTTTGACTTGAACAGTGCTGTTCTCTCTAGTAGGATAAAGTGATACACGATTTTGGAAATGGGGAGGTAAGGACTGGTGCTGGAGGTTATGGATATCTTCAGATCTCAAGTCCTGCTTTGTCAGGCTTATCAGTAATTTGCACTGTTTCTGGGAGAGCAGAATTGATGACAGCTCACTGTATTATTGGCTTTTTGGGTTACAGTTTCTGTTTGGTCTTGCCTTGTTAGAGCAAGAGTTTCTTAAAAATCCTGTTATCAGTCTTGTTTCTATTTAGGTACCTTCTAGAAACTTTCTATCATAGCCACTTTCTCCTCAAGATACATGAAGTTGTTCACTGTCTTCCTTCCTTCTTATCTGAAAGTTCTTTTCCAGAAATCCTGGCCATCTGCTTATAGATTTTTGGTCTTGGACCTCTCTGAACCTCAGTTTCTGCTCCTGTCAATAGAGGTAATGATAATGACAGCAGTCTTTTCTGCTCTTGAGGATTAAATG